AAGGCACGTGGTTTCGAGGTCATTTACATGACTGAACCCATTGATGAATATGTCATCCAACACTTGAAGGAGTACAAGGGAAAGCAATTGACCTCCGTTACCAAGGAAGGCTTGGAGCTACCTGAAGATGAAGCCGAGAAGAAGAAACGCGAGGAAGACAAAGCAAAGTTCGAAAACCTTTGCAAGCTGATGAAGTCAATTTTGGATAACAAAGTTGAAAAGGTGGTCGTATCTAACCGATTGGTTGAATCGCCATGTTGTATTGTGACATCGCAGTTCGGTTGGTCTGCAAACATGGAACGTATCATGAAGGCGCAAGCTTTGCGTGACACCTCTACCATGGGCTACATGGCCGGCAAGAAGCATTTGGAAATCAATCCCGAACATCCGATCGTTGAGACTCTGCGTCAAAAGGCTGAAGCTGACAAAAACGATAAGGCTGTTAAAGACTTGGTCATCCTGCTCTTCGAGACTGCGCTGTTGTCATCCGGTTTCTCGTTAGACAGCCCACAGGTGCATGCTTCCCGCATTTACCGTATGATCAAGCTAGGTCTTGGTATCGATGAGGAAGAACCAATGGCGACTGAAGATACACAGAGCGCTGGTGATGCTCCTCCATTGGTTGATGACACCGAAGACGCTTCTCATATGGAAGAAGTCGATTAAACTAAGTCCTGACTTTAATTTAGCGTTCCAAAATCTGAGTGCGGATTGCTACACTCCTACATCATAAGTTCATTTAGTCTACACAATTTTGAATTCGTTAAGCGAGCATCTCTAAAATCGTCGAATATTTGTCGACTACTTTTTATGTTCAATTTTTATGTTTGGAATAAGATTTAATTTTTGTCGCGTTTTAAGCGGCTCTTGTATATCCCAAGGATTCAAAAATGATGGTTTTCATTTTTAAATCGATGTATGCGTGTGAGAATCTACATAGAAGTAAATGTTTAAATGAACTTAATATTGTATGTTATGAGATTCCATAGTTCTGCTAAGAAATTAGAAAAAATAAAATATAAACTAAATGTTTATCAAACCATATTTTTAGTGTTTAATTTATTGCGTTGTCTTTTCGGCATGTATGCATAAAACTAAATGCAATTACTACAGAGGTAAAGTTGTCAAAATATTTTAGGAAACAGAAACTTTCATTTTTACCAAGTTCTTAGTTTCTTTAAATTCACCAATTCGCAGCATGGGTGCTTTCCAAAACGTCAAAATACAAAGCATCAGTCTCTTTTATTTCTAAACCACACTAGAAGAAAAAGCCTAACTTGCGCAACCTAGTAGAAAACTAAAATCCAACCGTGGTTGCGCAGATTTGGCATTAAAATCTACTGAGGTCTAGAAATAAAAGAGACTGATGCTTTGTATTTTGACGTTTTGGAATTCACCCCATCATTAATTCTAAACTACAAGTTATGGGGAAATGGTCAATTTGTGCTACAACCAATTCGGCGTTTAACCATAGTTTTCTCGTATTAGACATTCCTATCAATTATATATGTATCGTGGATGAAATGTAGAAAAGCCCCTGCATACATTCGTCATTGATCGATTTCCGAACAGGGGGGGAACTTTGTATTACATAAGGAGGGAGTAAGGACTCCAGAATGCAAAGATACAAGAATCCCTACAAAAATAATGTTGGCTTAAATGCGTGAACCGAATTGAAAAGGTTTAACAAGCGGCTATAGCCAAAAGGATGAACTTCAATTTAAAACAAAAACTTTGTTTTATGATAATTTATTATCCAGTATGAAAAAATAAACTATGAGCTAAATTTATAAAAAAAATATGTATAGTTTTTTGCGATACCCAGTTTGAACTGAAACAATCGTCGCATTTGTATTTTCTTTTTCCATACCAGTTTAATCAAAAAAAATATATCAATATTCGTTTATTTAAATTTAATCACCAACCATCACAACTACAATGAACGCAGATCATCACGAATATAACACAAAAAGGGATGACTCTTGTACGCACATGATGCTTGTAAGTAAAAAAGAAAGACAGGCTACCCAAGACTGGCCATAATGTTTTCCTCCCTAATCTAGTTTCATGCTGGGCATTGTGAGACGATCCTTTGGAAGAATTGGTCCCCTAAATCTATCGCCGAATTTACACTATCAGCTCTTGCTGTCTTTCTTTTGTCATTTTTATATGAAGCTTTAAAATTTCTACGGCAGTTTCTTCTTCGACGTGAACTTAAACGAATTGGGAAAAATAAAGAGCAAGTAGACCCAGTATGCCATACATTCCCGGGACTGAAAAGTAAACAATTACTTAAGAAAATACTAGCAAAACCTCATCTCATACAAACTCTATTGTTCTTAATTCAAGTTACATTGTCAATGCTGATCATGCTAATATTTATGACTTTTAATTATTGGCTGTGCTTAGCCATTATTTTGGGCCTTACAATTGGTTACTTTCTCTTCGGTTGGATTAGAGATGATGCCTACGACAGCGATTGTTGTCAATAAAAAATGTACCAGATTTATTTATCTATTACATACAATATACTCGAATTAAGATTCTTAGTTGCAGATTAAGAAACAATAAATAAAATACAATAGACATTTGTTTACCTCAATGACATAGTACATCGTAAAATCAATGAAATGCGACAGAATTTCCTTTATTACAGTTTTTTAAGTCTCGCACTCTCTTTTTAACGCTGCGGACACATTTTCAGGCGTAGAGACACCTTTACTAACCATAACCAATTTATTGCGTGATCGGGATCCTTTGTCCAATGATACGTCACTTTTTCGCAACCCTAGTACTTTGGACAGATATTTTACCAGCTCCGCATTGGCTTCGCCTTCTGTGGGTGGTGCTGCGATCTGCACCCCTACTTCCTCAGTTCCAATATCTGTGATTCCGTTCATCTTAGCGCCGGGTTTAGCCAGGATACGTATACATATATTACCGCTTTTATCCATCTGTACTGGACCCTCTTCGCATTTCGTATCGGCAGTGGTTGTTGTCGCCGCAGTTGATGACTTCTTATTTTTATTTTTTGACATAGCACTAAAATACGTATAAAATAGCCGGCGCATTCACACGAATTTATTAAATGTTTTTTTTTTTTATAATACCAAATAAACTGTGATCAGCTGTTATTTTGTTTACATGGAAATGAATATGTTACAAATTGATTGATTGAAATTCATTTTAGATAAATCGATATCGAAGTAATATCGATTATTCCATACGGGTGTGAACATAAATACACTGTAAAATTATTTTGGTAGCAAGAATATTAATGCGAGTTGTGCTTCTTGCGCAGTTTGCCATTTTATACTGTAATTGTACTGAAGGTATGCACCGTTGTTTGGAAAATAATAACAAATCGAGTACAAATACATACGTAATCACAAATATGTATGTAGATGCGGTACTAATCATAAATTGAAATGGCCATTGTCTCTTAAAGGACATACGTAATACGTATAGTAGGTATAATACGTCCTTCATTGTTTACATGACAACAGTCGTTGCTTGAGCTAATTTGCCAGAGTGCCAGGCCACTGGCTCAATTTGGTGAATACCCCTATTGTGAATCGTTTATTTAGCCCCTTCATTTCACATCCTACCGCACTAAAGTGGTACTTTTTCCGATGCAATCTATCAAATTTTCTATAAATCTTAGCAATAAAAAATTTCGTTTATTCAGTTCACATAATGAAATTGTATAAACTTTTTTTAATAAGTAAAAATTTTAAATATTTATGTATTTATTACATTTATACAAAATTACATAATTCAATTAAATTTTAAAGTTACTGCTTAAATATCGAGCAGATTATACACAATTCAGTGAATACAAGGGTGCCCGAATAAAAAAAAAAAACCAATCACAAAAATCACCATAAGGAATGCTTTCGAAAAAAAAATGTCTCTGCTGTACAAGTGATGCAAATTCCAGTTTATGTTGATATCAATAATACAAAACTATAACATCGCTTTAAAATGCATACAAATTAGATATATAAAATATTCGACAAACATTTGAATTGAAAGATTTGCTTGAAATCAGTTAACTATGTATGTTCGGTTGTGGTAATTTTATGATCGGCTGTTGGAAGATTATTCAATGCATTTAAGATTAAATAACTAATTTAGCTGCATGGTGATTTTACGCTGCCCGAATTGACTGGATAATTTGGAAAATTGCAGAACCGCACACTACGAATATAAACAACGCTAAAAGCCACGGTCCAACGGGGTATTGATTATCTTTGGATTTCTGGAAATATAAAAAATTGATAAGGTTAACATGAACATCTTTTAAGGTTTTGTTTATAAACTAATTCACAGACATTTAGCTTAGTAATAACCAAGGCGCATCCATATATCGATGGCTGAGTGGAAGATCGACCTATCCCGGCAGGCAGTTCAAAAACATTCTATCTCAAAAAACTTTTGAAGAACGCCCTATTTCAGAATTCGTTTCAAAAACGCCCTATCTCAGTTGCCGATTCAAAAACGCCCTACATCAGCATATTTTCAATACATTTTGAAGTGAGATAGGGCGTTTTTGAACCGAATTTTGAGATAGGGTGTTTTTCAATAAAATTCTGAAATAGGGCGTTCTTGAAAAGTTTTTTGAGATAGAGCGTTTTCGAACTGGCAGCCGAGATAGGTCGATCTTCCACTCAGCCATCGATATGTAGGTATATATATATATATATATATATATATATATATATACGTGCGCCTTGGTAATAACTAGGGCTTTACATAAATATGTGCTAATGTACATATGCACATACAAATCTATGTGCAAAATTGTATACAAATCAATGATAAGGATCGTTTAAAACGAAGAACGACGGCGTGGCACTTTCACCTGTTTGTTATTGCCGCATCATTGTAGAAAATATATCGACTCTTGCATCAAAGTTGTATGGCCGTTTAACGTAAATATATTAGGAGATTTGTTTAATAGCAATATGTTGAAAGATACCCTTAGACGCAAGTTATTTAGTTCTTTCGAAATATATGTGTATACATATATGTACGTATGTATATTAATACTAAAATATTATTAGCAGCAGCAATAACCTGTTTGTACTTACCGACGACTTTGGAACGTTGCCTCGCATGGTTACGTATTTGCTAGCCTTTTCATTGGCGACACGCATCCTTTGTGGTGGGGCCATTTTTGTTGGACTGTTGTAAGTTTTGCTTTAATGTGGAAAAACAGGAAATAAGTGTTAAAAAAAAGTGTACTCCTGGGATTCGCAATCATTCGCTAGTGCAAGCGATTTGACAGAAGAAAGCTACTTATTAATATCACTTTCTTTAAACTCTATTTAAATTTAAATAAAACTTGCACGCTTTAAAAATAATTTGTTCAATATAATACAATAAATTACCTTTTTCGCCACAGAAAAACAAAATGAACACGTCGAGAGCGACACACGAAAACGACACGTATGAGAAGTTGAGCCGAAGCTTTGACAGTTTCCGGGCACGGTTGCCAGCTCTTAAAAATATAACCTTCCAAAATCTAAAAAAAAAACAATCACATTGAAAGAAAATCAACCAAATTTGTTATCCACCTATTTATTACAAAAACCAAAAATTCCAAAATTTGTTTGAGCTTGATAGATTGTCTTATGGTAGAAGGTACAGCTTAGAAGTGGGCACGGGACTAAATATTTAATCCCGATACTGCCCATCTCGAAATTCGTTTTTTAAGTCCCGTGGGTCCCAATATTAATCTCTAAAGCAGGCTACAAACGGACAACAAATTGAAACGATCGTTTGAGATTTCAACGTGTGTGGCGTGGTTTGCAAACCGATCGAAGGTTGACAAAAATGTTCATGTCTTTCAGATTAATTTTATATAATAAAAATAATAATGAAAGATCTGGTATCTGCCGATCATTTTGTTTTGCTTTGATGTTCGTTTTCGTCTCAATAAAACATTAAGGGCCGTTTGCACCATGTCTAGTTAATTCTAAAGGCTCCGTTATGCATACTTGGCATTGCTTGAGAGTTGTCACATAAGGAATCTGTTAAATGAGCTTCGCGTGTAAGCGGTTACCCAACGCACAGCATTACATACGTAAAAGTCTGTTGGTTTTTGATTTCTACGCAAAAATGGTATAGCAGTGCATGCAATGCCAAGTATGCATAACAGAGCCTTTAAAGGCTCTGTTATGCATACTTGGCATTGCTTGAGAGTTGTCACATAAGGAATCCGTTAAATGAGCTTCGCGTGTAAGCGGTTACCCAACGCACAGCATTACATACGTAAAAGTCTGTTGGTTTTTGATTTCTACGTAAAAATGGTATAGCAGTGCATGCAATGCCAAGTATGCATAACAGAGCCTTAACTCCCAGTTAAACATCTTTATCGACACCCATCATATAACATGTGATCGATAAAGCAGTTAACGTGCTTAACTGAAGGATGTACCTCCAGTTAGCGTTAACTAGACATGGTGCAAACGGCCCTTAAAGTGCATATTTCATACCTCTTTTTATCGGGAGTGTCGGGAAAGGATTTTGGTCCCGCCCCGCCCGCCATATTTTCACAGATCTTCCCGATACCGTACATCCTGGCCAATTTTAAAGCAGTACCGTGGTCCCGCAAGTCCCGCGCCCATCTCTAGTATGTATAGCTGGTATTTTGGAAAACAAAAATTATTGAAATGGTTGTGCGTTCAACCCATAATTTACTTTTTATGTGCATATAAAACACGTAACATTTTTTTTTTTTGTAATTTAAAGTTACTTCCTAATTCTTTATAAGAAGAATTAATTGGCCAGCAAAAACACGTTACATTAAAAATAGGAATTTGATAAATTCATTTGTTCATTTTTGGGACTAAGTATGCAATATTAAATAAAACATTTGCTAATTCTAATTAAAAAAAAAAAAACAACCGAGCCAGAGAAAAAACTACCAAACAACCAAATTAAAAAAAAATAAAAGTAAAACAACCAAGTTTGGGTGGAAACAACTAATAATGGCAACCGTGTTTCCGGGGCTACCATTTTTTTTAATTAGCCGAGTTGCATTTTTAGAAACGAGATTTGAACATTTTGGTTTTTTCATATGATATGAGATAAATTATTATTTATCATACATACCAACTTGGTATGTCTATACCAAAAATATTTTACGAATACATGATTTACAAGCCGCATCCCTATGCGCCTTGCATAGTTTATTGACTGTTGTCATCATAGCCGGGTCTACGAACCCAAGATGGATCGTGTACGAACCGGACCACCGACTGAGAGAAGTAGTATTCTATCATTCTTGGAATGACCTAAAACACAATTTTCCATTTCAAACTGATACAAATAAACTCCCCCTACAACAACTTCCATGATTTTCATCTCTAGCGCATTCTACCAGCACTTCTGTACATATATTTAAAGAGCACAGGATATTACTTAATCTCAATATATATACTCGTATTCTCTTTACAAGTTTATTATTAAATTATACATTTGTTTCCGATTCAAAATATATTTAAAATAGTAAATGATCTATTTGGAGCGTACAGCAAGAGCGCTCAAATCAGCAATGCACTTGTTAAGAGTTTCCTTCTCTTGTTGTGGAGTGATTGAGCTAAGGACGTTGTTAACGATCCAATTAACCATGTGTTTCTGACTAATACGACGCTCAATGTGACGGCATTCCACCTGGTAGTCCAAGCGGCGTTTGACCTAAGAAAATCCAGAAATGAAATATTAGACTTTGTTCACACCATTATCCACTAAAGTTTGTGTTGTACTTCATTGTAAACATTTATCGCGCGTTCGCGGAATGCGGCTTCCAATTGCAAAGCAATGTTTTCCTTTTTGGCATCCATAAGCTGCAAGGCACCCTCAGCACGCCATTGCTCTTTCTTTTCGGCTTCGATGGCATCAGCTAAGGCCTTCAGTTCTTCCTCGCGACCCGACTTCCACTCATGTTCGACTTTCTACATTTTAATTTCAAAAACAGTTGCCTTAATAGCATAGGTAGAAATGTTGCAACAAAACCTACATCGATTTCCTTATCAGCCCAGGCAGCGATTGTTGGACCCAATTTTTTTACGGCTACAATAGCCATAATAGCAAGGGACAAGCCACTGTAGTACTCGTGCTCCATGACGTAAATTTCTTTGGAGCAGAGGTAAGTCAGCAGACCCACCCCAAAGGTGTATGGGCCAGTGACACCAGTCTTATTGTAGAAAAACTGGAACCACTCTTCAGGAAGGAAACCCAAGCGCACCTTGCCTGGATGTTCTGGTCGCTCTCTTCGACCAACTTCTCCCGAACCGGCTGCTGATGCCGACCTCATGGCCAAAACACCCAACGGACGTTGCACTGAAATTGGCAATTCAAATTGTATTTAGTATTAAACTTAAATCACATTTTTACAAAATTATTTGTTGCAAATATAATTTTTTGACATTTGCACCTATGGCGATTACATAAACCACGATGGCTTTCGCATTGCTAATCGCGTAACATATGAATAGCCGTCAAAGCGTTTTGCTAAGAACTCCGCAAGTCAAATACGCTGCTTCTCTTTAAATATAAAATTCAAGTAAATTACCTGAAAGTAAAGCAGTCCTCGACAGCATTTTTAATTTTCAGTAATTATTCCTTTCGAAGAAAAAATCGACAAAACGAGTTCCTCCCTGCTCACCTCTGTCAGCTTAACTGTCAAATGTCAATTGCCAATTCTCGTGTACACTGTGAAGAATTCGTATCTGAACACTTGATAAACTTTTGAAACTCGATACATTTTTTTATCTATAAAAATGTATCAAGATGATTGATGAAAAGGACGCCAGCACTAGAGGATAAGGTCGCTAGATAAATTTTAAATAATGAATTACAGTTATGAAATGCATATTAAATTTATCGGTTACCCAAAAATTTAACTAATGCATCATTACTTTTTTTCTTTAACATTTTAGAATTATTGAAAACTCTTTCTTTGTAATATTTTCACCAGCTTATTGCTTTTAGGGATGGAATTATGGCAAAATTTAATTCATGTCAAATATCGAGAATTATGTAAAATTTGTAATCTGAAAAGCAACATTGCGTCGCTATTCCACGAAGAGTAGCAAAAAGAGCAAATGCAAATTCTTATTTCCACGTTCCATTCTCAGGTGCGAATTTTACAAAAACAAAGCGTAAACCGACCTGTATTTCCATTTTTTATCAGTAGTTTCGTTCCTTGCTCATTCTTCCCAGAGCATAGGACGTTGCTCCTTTCATTTAATACTTTTATCTCAATTTGTTTATAAAGTGAAATGTATTCAAATGCATTGAAGACTGGGTGTCGCACTGCCATGCAAGCATGGAAATTCAAAAACGGTAATCGGTATTCCAATTCATCACTCCAATAAAAA